CAACGGCACGCGGTGTTCCCAAGCGGTCACCCATCCAAGTACTGACCGCGCCCGACGTTGCTTAACTTCAGTGATCGGACGAGAACTGGTGCTTTGCAACGTGGTATGGCCGTTGCCATCAGAATTTTCTTTATGCCAAGAAGATGAATTTGTAATCAAAGTGGTCTATGACGGTAAACGGTTAATCTGTGCTATGACTAAAATAATGGCCGTTACCGGAAGAGCTTGTAATCTTCAAAGGAGATAAACTTTTAACCAAAGTGAACTATAATTTTAAAATTAAGTTGGTAACATAGAATTATTGGTGATATTAATTTGATAATTTATATTACCAACTTAATTTTAAACTCACAGGCCACTTTGATTGGAAAGTTATTTTTTCACAAATAATAAATTTTGTTAATAGGACACGAAATACTGCAGATTTTACTTTGTTGATTTTTACAACAGATTTAATACCAATTATTTATTAAAATAAGAAAATAAAATAATGTAGGTTCTTTCTTAGAACCCAAATAACAAAAAGTAAAATTTGTAAACACCATAAGCGAAATGTCAGTACAAAATCTTCTATTTTATCTAAACAAGCAATTAAGTCAATTTTGAAATTTATAGAGTAATGAAAAGAATTTTTTTTTGCTTTAGACCCCAATGACGTGGAGTCTCCTCGGACGTCGTTCATCCTCCCCCCCAAGCTGGGAATCTCCCAACAGACACCCCCAGTCAGTCCCAACGCCGAAGACCTCTCCCTCATACTCGGCAACGTCCAAGGCCCTCGCGTGCGCAGTTACAGTACAACAATATCGCCAAAACTAGTCGAAAACAGAACTACCAACCCTACCAATCATCCCATAGAATCACCCCAAACCGTTCGAAAAAAATCCGTACCGAACACCGTCGGTCGGGGCTCACCCAACAACACCGCCGAGGAGTTTTTCATCGATGTTATTCTACAAAAACATGCGCGACGTTTACTCTCAACTCGACGTCTCACCGATCTTGGTTATTTCGCCGCTCACTTGGATTTCCACCTAGTGGCTTGGTTGGGCAAGGAGAGGGATCGAGCAGCGCGAATCGACGACTTCGTCCAGGCTTTGAAGCACCTCCACGAGGAGTTTTCATGGCCGTATCCGACGCCAGCTGCGTTTTCGTTACAAAACACCGGTGGTGACGTCGAAGACCGTCTCAAACTGTTGAAAATCGACGTGACTCACCCGTCGAGTCGGGTGGGTGATAGCGGGTATATGAGTTTTCAAGGGTTGCCTTGCACGGGTCTGATCACCCCCATTAATACTCTCGATTCGAATAGTCAGGTGGCTGAGACCGAACTCGGCGATTTGTCACAAAGCGATACTAATAAAATCGATGATAAGTGTGACATTGCGACGAATTCGACGTTTTATGATAAGAGAATCGATTTGTATGGTGATAAGACACTGGAGGCGCAGTCCGGAGGACGGGCTGATGATACGGCGATGAGTTCGGTGAGTTCGGTCTGGGGCGAGGATCGAATCGATTCGAGTAATGATAATTGGGAAGTGCCCTCGTCGCAAATCCTGGAACAGTTGTCTAATACGGATAATAAGGGATCGCAGAGGTCCGAAGTACAGTTGAGGTATTTGTTGCAATTGTTTATGGAAGCGAGTTGTTTGGAATGGTCGTTGATTGTTTCGGTGTTGTTGAGGGATGCAATGGCGGTTTTGAGGACGGTGAATGCCGCCAAGAGTCCGGATCAGTCGATTGAAGCGGTGTCGAGGTTGAGGCAAGGGTTACTGCTGTTACAGTATTGGACCAATACTGAGTGGTAAGCAAATATTGGATTTTCTGTTCAGTGCTAATTTACTGTTCTTTTCTGTGTCTGAATAAAAACGTAATTAAAAGTGCTCTGAAAATTTCATGAACGTATGTCTTGAATAATAACGTCAATACCTGTCAATTATCTGTCAAATTTACCATTTACCAACTTTGTCAATAGCATGACAACATTGTTTTACCTACTTTCTATAGAATGTTTTAAATAATTTGACAGTTTATTAAACATAACAATTTAAACAACACATACGTCCATGAAAATTTTCATACCACTCTTGACAACACTTGTACATAGAAAGATAAATTCTTCGGTTTTTTAATATAATTGTGTCTGAAACACCGTTAAAATATTTCATGGGGAATGCGTTATTTGTCACTTTTCGAGCTCGTTATGTAATATACTATTAGCAGTGTGACCGGACAAACTATTAGTACAACTTTTAAAATTGAGATTTATTATCAATGATTATATTATCACTCGTTGATGCAAAAGAGTAAAGGAACTTTGTCTTTTTCTGATTATATCGCCGATTAAAATGTTTTAAAATTAAAAAAAAACAACTTTATTCCTTCAGTAGTTGGAATAGAATTGTAGAATTAATTAAAATTTTACCTCTTAAATGTTTTGAGTTATATACAACTCGGTTTGCAGAAAACAATTACAATTAGTAAGTATTCAATGAGTAAGAAAGTTGTATTATTCAAGAGGATAAAATTTATAATGGGTATGTTATTTTTTTGTTGGATATTGGAATTCAATAATGAGTCAAAAATTTCAAATTTGTCGTATAAAATTTCTGCGATATCTCTACCTTACTCCTATTGTAAAAAAACTGACTCATTGCTCAATTATTATTACATATTTAAATATTTTTAAGAGAATAAAATTTGACACTCAAATGTACCAAAACTACGAAATATTTATAGTTCATGAACATTTCCATGAAAATCGTCATGTTTTCCTGAAAAATAAATGAAAAACTTGGTATACAATCGAATTAACAACTGTTAAAAACTGCTTCAACGAGTATTGGTAATTTTTTATTTAAAAACGCAATAGAATTGAATAGAACATAGTTCGAAATAATATTTTTTCGTTCGTTTTTAATAGTTATTTTTGTATTAAAAGAATAAACAACTATTTTAATTTTGAGAATTAAGAAAAAAAATCGGTATTTAATTTATTTTATTCCCTATAAAATGACGCTTTATTGTTGAGAAGAAATAGTATTATATTAAACGTATCTCTAAATATTCAAATACAATAATGCATTAATCCATAATAATAATCATAATAATTTATTATGAGTTCATAAATAATTTTATTCTTCGACACTGTCAAAATTTACAGTTTTTCTCCCGTGTAAGGAAGTTTTGACAATTGTTTGGCATTTCCCAATACGAAACGTCAGATTATTTTTAACGGATTTAAAGCAAGTTTAAGCCTTGTTGAGTCTAATTCGAAGAATAAAATGTTGTATTCAACTCGTTTGAGTGTAAATTTCACCGAGTGGATTTTCATCCACTATTTTCTTAATTTTGTTTTTAAACTTCTTTTAAATTATAACTCAAAATTGTTTTTTTTTAAGTTTTTGACATAAATATGTTTGTATTAAATAATCTTAATCTTCAGCCCCTCACTGTTGATTATGGAATTTTGCATATGAAATAAATCACTCTGTTTAAAATGTTTTGTATGTACTGTTGCGGAGTTAAAATTTCGGACAGTATTGTCATTTTCACAATGTAAACTCTAAAACAGCCTTTACATTAATAACCTCATTTTTTACTTTTGTCATGTTTATGTCATTTTGACTTAAAAATAGAGTCACTGACAGAAAAATTTACAGTGAACTTTTTGAAGTGACAGAAAAATACAGCCCAAAATTTTAATTCCGTAAATGTACTTATTTTTGGGAATTTTGTTTTGTAAACTAAGTCACGAAGTAATAAACATTTGTAGTCACTGTAAGTTCCAGATTTCGAAGTGAGTTGTAGAAGTTAATAAGTTCCTAGTAAAATTAGACAAGGTGTTTTCTGAATATTACAAAAATCGCAACCACATATCATTCAAAAATAACACTAATAAACAAAAATAAAAATATTTAGTGACGTACCCGTATACTCGTCACTGGTAAGAGTAAAAATAAAGTAGGTAATTGCCGGAAAATAAGCGGCTTCAATGGCACACAAGCCTGTAAGATTTTAGAAAAAAAACAACTCTCAACAAGTGGTTTCAGATTAATCGATTTTAATTTTTATTATGAAACTAACTTTATCGCCCTGTATATGTGTAACGACGCTTCATAGGATTTTGATTTATTTAGCAAATTATTTGGCAATTATTTCAGAAAAACACGTAAAAGTCAATTAAAAAATAAGAAATTTGCCAAAAGTTAGAAGATTATGAAAATAAACTCGCATTTGCATGCAAAACTTGAAAATTATTTTCAAAAAAAATCACGAACTTGAATGGTATTTGGTGGATTAACGCATAACAATACAAATAGGAAATTGCCTTCAGATTTTTGATGTAAAAGTGAAACTTAAATCTGAAGAGTGTTCCTGAGTTTCAATTGTTTTATACAGGGTGTTGGTACAATATGGCTGTATTGTAATTTTAGTCTCTTATTAGTATTAATTGCTATTTCATGCTTTTACTTCGATTTTCAAAACGTCCGGTTTTTATAGTTTTTATGCAATACGTTTGAATTATTAATGAACTTTAGTTGAGTTGATATTTGAATAAAAACATTAGCAAACTGTTTAATTACTATATCAAAAACGAAAGAGTTAAAATTGTGCTTTTAAAAATAATTTGTTCTTGTTTAAATAAAAACAATGTTGTGATTATTTTTCAGTTTGGGCTACAAGGCTTTCATGTTGGCAATACAAAACCAAATTTCCGTCCTATCGAAAATCCTCGAGACAAAAATCCAACATCAGAAAATCGTCGAGTACCAGCAAGCAGTCTCTGCATCTCTCAATAAACTCTCAACACCGATTCCGGCCCGATCTCGTAAAACCAGCTCGAATCACGATAATTCTAGTCAAAGTGGTTCGATTAAAGAAAAAAAGAACATCAACATAACCACCAATCACAACACAAACGACGAAAATAATCCAAATTCCAGTAGCGTCAATCCGAATCAAGAGAATCAAGTGGAAGATGCAATCATTCCGGAAAGCACCGGCTGCGTTATATCATAAGTCTTTTTTGATACGAAATAAATTTTCTGAGGACACTCGGAACTGCCTAAAACGAAATATTCCGTCTTAGAAGTGATAGGTAATATATAGTATTTGGATGTTTGCACTCTTTGACAATATGATTTAGTTGTTTTTGAAACGGTTTTCAATTGTGTTGTGCCTCGCATTTATGAAATCGTGCATTCCGCTGAAAGAAATATTTTTGCAAATGATATTACCGTATGATTTCTCAGCAATAACACTAGTTATCGTAGCAATTGTTCCGATCAATCGACATGGGTGATAAGGTGTTAAAATTATTAATGTTGTAGGTTTTTAAATCTGTTTCTAATAACTTGTTGGTCAATTTTTATACAGTGGTAGATAATCCTAGACCCTATACTGTCATCCAATTAATACTCTACTTGTTATTGTATAATTTATTTAAATATTATTTTTTCAACAACTTTATTTTGTAACATACTAAAAATAAATAACAGTTTTATTCCGTTAAGCCGTTCAAATGGCCTTCATCTCTCAGTCTTTGTTGGGCTAGTCGTTCCCTGTCATACCCATCTATTCCCAGTCCCAGTCGCTCGATAGCTTTGGCCCCATATCTACCATTGAGCTCCTGGTACTGTCTGGACCGTCTTATGGCAACGTCTGGATCAAAATCCCATTCTGTTTCTTTGTGAAGAACGGGATGACCAACCACGTTAAATTGCACTAAATCCTTGACTATTTTCACAGTACATACACTATATGAAACTAAACTGAGCAACACAAGGATCTGAAGGAGAAAAAATCAAGCACAGTAACGAAAAACAAAAATTACCTTAATTGGAGCACACATTTTGAGCCGGGTAGTTGGTGTTAGAAGTGTCACCACGTTCTGTGCAAAATGAGGAGAAAGTACGTGTGCTCTATGAGTACTCCTATCGGCCGAAAGAAGTGGAAACATTGAGTAATGGAGAGTAATTATTGCACAAATGGGTAGGTACCTATTTGCCAATGCAACTTAAAAACAAATTAATACCGACCTGAAATTTTACCCAGGGTTTTCGACACCGATGGTACCAAAATGGCGAATTCGAGCCGCCGACTGTCATAATTACTTTAATAACTTCATTACACTAATTGCGAAGTGAGAGCAATTTATTTCGCAACCCTGTATTTGCAATTTTTATGCCTTGACAAATCTTTTTTATTTATTCATAGATGAGGAGAAAAATGTCACATTTAGCCCATTTTTGGCTTTTCAGTGAATGGAATAAATAGTAATTTTAATGCAGTTTTTATTCACCACTCTTATGTAATAATTGATATTGCATTGTGAAAGTAACGACCTACTGAATAATAACAAAACAAACACAATTTTTTCCGATGATCGGAGGATTCGGGCGCAATATTTTGTATTTTATTTTATTTTTTAATATTTGTTTGGGGGGGAAAACGTCAAATTGCGTATTTAATACCCAAATTGGAGTAGTTTTTCGTGCATTGTTGCATGGGGACCGGTTTTTTTCAATGACAGAGTGTTGCATCACCGCTTCAAGGACTGACCTCGAACTGTTACGCTCAAGGACGGTGATTCGCGTCCTTGGTTGCGCTCGAGTGCCGGCAGTGTGGGGCATTTGAAAGGCTTGAAACCACGTGTTGCAACACTTGAATGTGAACTCGAGTCCACGCCTTGCGTTGCGATAATTTACATTTTCGGTCATATTTGGTTTTACCGAAATTTGGGCAGGATTGTCATCGGAAAAATCCGCTACCGTTCACTCGTTGCTCAAAAATGTTAATTGGTTGCTTAAAAGTTTGTAATCGTGCGGTGTTAAGAAATGAAACAATCGGTTTTGAATTTTTAAGTGTGTTTAAAAAATAAGAAACAAAAAGTGTTGTTTGATTTACTCAGTAGTATTTTTTTTTGTTAGAGATTTGGTGGGGGTTTAACCAATGAAGGGTAAAGTAGTCAAAGCTGAACAAGATTGCAGTAGTGTAGCACAAATTGTGAGAGTAAAACGTGAATAATTTTTAAGTGCGTTAAAAATAAGTCAAAATTTGTGAATATTTCAGTTTAATAAAATTTTGTGAAGTTAATTGAGTTGTTGATTGATTTTGTAAAATAATGAAATAAACAAAAAATCAAACTTTTGTAATGCATAAAATAAATGAATAAAGTGAAAAAGACCCAAAGGAAATACGGGTGCGCCAGAACTCGCGCCCCAGAGAAAAATGCCATGTAAGGTAAGATAGCAGAAACATGGAAAAAATGTTAAAAAAATTAATCTATAAAAATTGAGAAGTTATGAGAGTTTAAATTTTGCACTTTGACTCTATTTATTTCTGTTGGAAAAATAATTTTCCAAGTTTTTTTGCTACAGGTTATTAGAAGAGGATACAAGGAAGCTGTATCCTAAATTGTAACTCTGTTTAATGTTATTTGTGGCTTTTATTAGCAAAATTTTTGTACTTTTACTAAATAATTATAAAAAAAACATACACAATATCATCAGTGTCATTAAATCAAATGTCAAAAAATAAATGTCAAAATTTTTTGACAGATAGAATTTTTTAAACATTTTTTTCATGTCCCTGGTATCTTATCTTACTGCGCGAGTTCTGGCGTACCCTATATAGAAAGTCTAGAAAACATTTTTTAAGTTTATCAAAACTTTTAAATTATTTTTATAAATTTATAATTTTTATTAAAATGATAATAAACTTTTGAAATATTTTCTTCTTTTAAATACATAAACCCAGTTATTGATTAATTTTATATTTTTTTAGTTTTAGATGTCTTTCCGGGGTTTGTGAGCTCTTTAAATTATTTTGTACAATTTTGATAATTTTAATGTCAATTATTATTTAATAATGTACATAATTCTAATTTTTCTAGTCAAATAAGCAAATATGAAAAATAACTACCTGGTTCATCAGTAGTAGATTAACTTTCCCTAATTTAGTTGATTAATTGATCGACGATATTTCTTTTTATCACCTGACAGAAAGAGTAATATAAATATTTATAACTTTATTTTTAACATTGTTAAAAATATCTACACATTCTGTCAATGCACAAAAGTAGATTTTTATTCTCCTCAAGGAACTAGAACCTCTGGCTTGGGGCTGTATTTTCAACATAACATAAATTTTTAAAATTCATTTTAACATTTATAAAAACCAAAAATGCTATTGTGAGTAAAATCGATTTTCCATAATATCACTCTCAACTTGAATATTTAATTCCTACTTTATGTATAAAAACATGGGCGCCCACAGGGGGGGCCGTCGCCCCCCCCCTGGGACAATAGTGGTTGCTATTTTATATAAAAAAAAAGATTTTTTTGATTTTCACAAACTCGTTCTAATTTAAATTTTCATGAACGAAATAAGAAACTACTATTTACATTTTTATCACGAACTGAGTGATATGAAAACAGACGAATAAAACGGTTATTATTAACTTCGACCTTTTTTTTTGCCACCCCCTGACCATAATTTCTGCGGGCGCCCATGTATAAAAATCTGTAAAGCTTTTAAATCTTCAATTTTCTAAAAAAGGTTTCTTAAAAATATTTTTTTGTTTATTAAATGAAAATAAGAAAGTTCATAAACTCATGATTTAAAACTTAATTACTTGAATCTTATTAATAAGTATCTTTGTGATTATGACAATGATCACACTTGATTGATGGAAAAAACACACTTATTTGCAATTTTAGAAATATTTATTTTTATCGACGTAATAGTGAAATGTTTTAAACAACACTTGCCAACAATTAAAACGTGCTACTAGAATTTCAATCAAAATTATAAATTAGTTTCTAGAGATTCTTAAAAGTAATCAGGTGGTCTTAGTTTAACGCTTTAAATTAAGCGTTTCCAAATTGAATTGCAACAATTAAAAACGTAAGGAGAGCATTAAGTACACCAAGAATTGTTTTTCGATTTAAATTGAAAAATCTGGCTGCTGTAAAGCAAGGAAAAGTGTGATCTATGACATCTACAAGTTTTTTTAGTTCTTCACATTCTTTTCCTTTTACGGAATTTGTCGCAATTTGGTGCGCTACCATTTGCATATTTTCGACTCTTTCCTCTATCAGATCACACAAGAAAACACTAATAAATGTCCCAACCTTAAATTTAAAATGTGTTTAATTAAAAATAAATAAATAAAAGATCCAACAAACCGTATGCCACGTAATATATATTATTCTATGAATTGTGTTTCCGTTTTGGAGTATCAAATTGTGCAAATAGGCCAATTGTCTGACAAAACAAAATCCAATCAATAGTAAGATTAACCAGCCAAAAATATTGTTGAAAATATTTGCGCATTCTGCCAATGCACAAAATTCGCTTGTTATTTTCTCCAAACTAAAGTAATTTAGTCGATTACAATGCATCTTCAAAAGATTAATATTTTTGGACAGATTTTCAACTCTGTTCAGTATCAGCTTCAAAAGAACATAAATCAAATAGTAAAGAATAAACTGGGCATAAGTTTGAAAAAACATCACTGCAAAGATTTTGAAGTAATTGCCACCCATTACTTGCATCCAAACATAAGTTCCGTAAATAAAATTCATTACGGTTACAATGTTTAATAATAGGAAAGATAAAAACCAACAAGATTTCTTGCTCTCTTTGTTATTTTGAAGAGTTTTCAAAATATTGATTAATTTCTTCCATTGGCGCTTCTTTGTTGCTGTTATTATAATAGTGGAAATAACTAGAATAAATATAAGAACCTCCGTAGCTACTCGAAGTATAAATGATATTGAAGTCGTTTTGTTATAAGAAGCTTTTTTATAAACAGTAGAAACTAACACTCCTGCAGTGAATAGACTTATCCAGAGCAGTGCATATGCTTTTGATGGAAACACAAGGCCATTTTTTTCTATCTTGGCAGGTGTAAGTGCTAGTAAACTTCCAAATTTGAAAACAAGATTTACTAACTTTAACGACATTTTATCCAAAGTCTATTTGAAAGAGAACAAGGGGCTAGAACCTCTAGCTTGTGGCTTTGTTTTCAACATAACGCACATTTCAACATTTATAAAATTCAAAAATGTTATTCTGAGTAAAATGGATTTTCCATTAATATCACTCTCAGCTTGAATATTTAATTAACATATATGTATAAAAATCTGAAAAGCTTTTAAATTTTTCATTTTTTAGAAAATATTTCGTAATAGCTATTAACACAACTAGAGTTTCGTAAACTATAAAACTCATGTTTTCCCCAAGATTTTTTGCAACATTAATATTGAATCAGAAATTTTACTAAATTCAGAAATTACTATAATGTCAAAATTGACAAAGAATATGCATCAGCGTATTTTATCGGCTCATAAGAGGTAAGCTTAAGTAAGTGCACCATAGAAACAGTAGGTATAAAGAATTAGTGTTACAAAAAATATTTTTTTGTTTATTAAATGAAAATAATGAAGTTCACAAACTCATGATTCGAGTAATTACTTAAATCTTATTAATAACTGTATTTGTGATTATGACAATAATCACACTTGATTGATGGAAATAATGGGACACACTTATTTGCAATTTTAGAAATAATGACGTAATAATGTTATGCTCGTAAAAACGTGCCACTAGAGTTTCAATCAAAATTCTAAATTAATTTCTAGAGATTCTTAAAAGTAATCAAATGGTCTTAGTTTAACGCTTTAAATTAAGCGTTTTCAAATTGAATTGCAACAATTAAAAACGTAAGGAGAGCATTAAGTACACCAAGAATTGTTTTTCGATTTAAATTGAAAAATCTGGCTGCTGTAAAGCAAGGAAAAGTGTGATCTATGACATCTACAAGTTGTTTTAGTTCTTCACATTCTTTTCCTTTTACGGAATTTGCCACAATTTGGTGCGCTACCATTTGCATATTTTTAACTCTTTCTTCTATCAGATCACACAAGAAAACACTAATAAATGTCCCAACCTTAAATATAAAATGTGTTTAATAAAAAATAAATAAATAAAAGATCCAACAAACCGTATGCCACGTAATATTTATTATTTTCGAAACTGTATTTCCTTGTTGTAGGATCAAATTGTGCAAATATGACAATAGTCTGACAAAACAAAATCCAATCAATAATAAGATTAACCAGCCAAAAATATTGTTGAAAA